ACGGCCTTTTTATCGTTGAGGCTTCTTTCACCGTTAGTCTTATTACCGGTTGTCTTCAAACCAGTGCTCTTCTTCCAACCAATGTCAGTTCTACTGAGGTCGGTTTGTTTCTCGAGGGTCGGTATACTGAGGTCGGTTTGTTTCTCGAGGGTCGGTATACTATTCTGCATACATTCATCAAATTCCGCGCGAGTCAGTTTGGAATTCCTGCAATGAACCCGCAGGTCATTCCTTCTTAAGGAATACGCAGGCACAGACCATACAGAATCTAGCCTCTTGATCTTAGGCGGCATCCGTCGCAGATCCTCAAAGTTTACCACATAGTAACTTTGGTTTAGTATCAGGTCCTGTAACTCTTCATAATATTGCCCGTCTAAAACACCAAAGATTCCAGCTGGACATATGACAGTGCCAGCAATCAACGATTTCTTGCTGGCACATTCAACAGCAACCGAGATACAACCTTTCATCTAAATTAAATGGCCCCCGATCCATACATCACATACGACCCATACTTCACATACGACCCATACTTCACATACGACCCATACTTGGTAAGCGTTCCTAGTTGCCAGAGAATGCCCGTTTCGGAGTTGTCTGTCCCACTCCCTCCGACTAGCGATCTTGTCTTCTTGTCAAGTCGAACATAATTTCTCTAAGAAAGACTAATCGTCTATTCTTCGGGATCGGTGAACTAGTCCATAGTTTCGGTCGCCTCTTGAGGCCCGTCGCACCGACCTGGGAGCCAAGCCGCACTAGTTCGTTTTGCCTGGAAATTCGTAGGAGGTCGTGCAAGGCCAATCGGGGATCGCATCCGGTCAGCAGCTGGGCGGTAGATCAGCAGCTAAAGCCGCCAGTTCCCTTGATGTTGATTCGATTGACCACTAGGCTGGAGCACACATCCTGTAATTTTAGAGGCCGCTTCTACTTCTGTAGGGCTGTGTTTCAGTAACTGTACCAGCTTGCCTGCCGAGCTTGTTGGAATAGCCGATGGTGGTATAGTCTTCGCCACAAGAACCTTCCTAGCGGGCGGGTGCCTCACTTGAACTATTCCCCGGCGGGTTCGCCCGGGGTTGCCAAGTTTCTAGTACAAACGTCAGGGGTGTTCGAACAGGCAGATCGTAAACTCTCGGCCCTCACCGGGTTCAGAATCACTGTGGTATCACAGCCGGGCAAATATCAATCTTTTATTCGATGGTTAACGAGGACGAAGTCAAAACGCCTCTGACTGGCAAAAGAGTACTGCCTCGTTTATTCACAAGTGAGAATGTGCAATTGGTCGTCCTCGTTTTAGCCATTGCTGGAGGCGCCTTGGCTTGTATTGCATTGCTAAAGTTACTTTTCCCAGGATTGTTCTGGCTGTCGGTTGTCTTGGTTGTTATTATTACCGTATTGGTCGTTCACAGACAACAAAGCATAAAATACAGGCAGCGTGATTTTGGCGACGAAGAGTCGTCGATGTACTACTGACCAGGCAGGCAGGGTGCTATTGGTCAGGCAGGCAGGGTGCTATTGGTCAGGCAGGGTTGTACCGACAATTTTGACAACAAATGCGTGGCAAATCGAGGGCTGCCTGCCTGCATGACATGGCCCGCTGTTTTCCGCGAACCTCGGAAACCCTATGAAGCTAATGCAGGAGCATTTGGTTCGATCTTGGGAGTATGTGAAGACCAAGATGAGGCGGATTCGTTCAGCACTATCGGATGGAGTGCAAGTTGACGAACAGTCGGAGGGGCGTGTTGAGGAAAGATGTGTGGATGCCGCGTGTGTGAACAGCGAGTGTGTGGTCGGCGCGTGTGTGGACGGCGCGTGTGTGAACGGCGAGCGTATGGACAAGGAGCTCGACGGCTGCTGCGTCGCTGCCGAGTGCGGTGACCCGCATAAGGCGCTGTGGCGTTACTGTGGTCTGAACGTGGACACTGCACAGCTTGAGGAAGACATTAAAATGCTGGACTCGATTGTGCCGACGGCCGCCAGAATTTCATCTTGTGAGTCCACCACCGCCAGTGGCTTGAGGTCGGACATTTCGCCCCTGGAGTCGTCAGCTGGGTCCCCGCCTGACCTTAAAACCTGCCTCGCGACTGACCTTGTGCGTGAAGAAGACTTGCCCGAGAACACACCTCCCTCCCTGGTCCAACAAACCGTCACATCAGCCGCCGCCTCGACCAAGGAAGACAAAAACAGCGTTTCTCGCCGAACTCCCCGCTCCTTGGAGTACAAAGGCGAACTTCCCGCCCGACCGCGACCCCGTGACGGACCGCCCCGCGATGGACCGCCCCGCCGAGTCAGACACCAGAGAACGTACTCAGGGGTGATTCAACCCAGCGGCAGTGTCTACAGACATGCACGAGCCAACTCTGACTCACCCTGGCGTCCAACCTATCACGCAATGGAGGGATCACACGCAATGGAGGGATCACACACAATGGAGGGATCACACACAATGGAGGGATCACGCATATATACTCCTACGTTAAGCCAGCAGATCTATTTGGAAGCAGCCATGTCACGCGAAAGGGCCGTCTTGGCCCAGGAGATGATTGATGGCGTCAAGAAGAGCCCTTCCTACCGCATTTATAGAAGCCGCTGTCCTAGGGGTCATCGGTTCGAAGTGAAAACCCCAAGAAATATAATGGTGGACAGCATGGATGTAGGAATGGATTTGAAAGTAGTGGAAAGCTGGCAAAGAACGGTAGAAGCTAAATCGAGAGGCATTTGTCTGCTCAACATGGTCAATGCCCATAGCATGTAGGGCTTTTTCGCTAACCTGACGGTACATGAATAGACAGACTTGCATTTGTGGTCGGTGGACTGGCAGAATTATCAACAGCGTGTGTTGCACACACTGTTGATCATTTTATTATGAAATGTGGCCCGGCCGGGTGGTAATAAAATCGGCCCGAGAAATAGACTAGAGATGGCGGGGCCTTTAACGCTGGGCTTTGTTGGGTCGAGAAATCGTGCAGAAAAATTGCCTCCAAACCACACGCGTATAGGAGGTCGCGCGGTAAGATTCTTCACACTTGGGTAAAAAAAGATCGTTACTTAGACTTGCTGGAATGAAATACCGTGTTCTGTTTGGAAGGAGTATATCCTTTGCGCTGGGTGTGGGAGCCCATTAACTTTATTGGCTCAAATTGACACGACCTATGACGCTTCTCATCCTCGAGTTCTGTACATATTCGGTTGCCTAGAGACAGGGCCCCTACAAACACAGCACTTGCCTGCTGACCAGAAAGCTGGCCAGTCGTCGTGCCACTCGGGTAACCATGGTTGGAAGTCAGTGCGAG